CCAGCCCCTCCACAGGGATCAGCACCTCGGACAGCGCCGCGGGCCCAGGGCGACCGCCCAGACTCCAGGCAAAAAACGGGGCTGAAACAGGAGCTTGGCCTGGACCCTGGGGTCTGCGGCCACCTGGCCGTTTTCTCACTTGTAGTGACCATAATTATTTTTTATTTAATGCAAAAATTGTACTTTATTATTTATTAAATGTTACATAATCCAATTAGATCTATTTAATATTTTAAATTATAATCTCTATTAGTTTTAATCACAAACGCAGTTATTAACATATTCCCCCTTAACAAATGGAAACATTGCAGGTAAGGCTGTGCCCATGTAACCACCGCACCCCCCCAGGTTCCCCTCCAACGGGAGTTGTCATTGTTCCAGGCCCTGATCTGTGCACCTAGATCTTTGTGGAAAATATGGCATCTGTCCTGAGATTTCCTTTTACACTCTGTTACTTCTGAGCGTGCCTTTCCCGCAAGGATATGTCTTTTTTGTTAATCCTCACCTGAGTATATTTTCCCATTGATTTTTAGAGAGAGGGAAAGACAGAGAGAAACATCGATGAGAGAGACACGCCCTTTGGTCTGCAGGCCGATACTCTAGCCACTGAGCCAAACTGGCCAGGGCCCAAGGATATGTTTTGGAGATCTCTTACCAGTGACAATCTTTTACTGGGCCACAGTGTTCCAAAGCATATGGATATTTCAAAACTATGTTTTCTTTTTATGTAAGTTACCCATGCATATGGTTTCACCAATTTAAATAGCATCTAAGACATTTTTAGCTCATCAAAGCCAGCGTTTGCTGAACGCTTTTCTGTGTCGGGCCTTGTGCTAGACCAGCCGTGGGCAAACTTTCTGACTCGAGGGCCACAGTGGGTTCTTAAACTGGACCGGAGGCCGGAACAAAAGCATGGATGGAGTGTTTGTGTGAACTAGTATAAATTCAAAGTAAACATCATTACATAAAAGGGTAGGGTCTTTTTTTTTTTTAGTTTTATTCATTTCAAACAGGCCGTAGTTTGCCCACGGCTGTGCTAACCCCTGTGTGTGGGTACTGTTATCATGTCTGCTTCACAGCTGAGAAAGCTCAGGTATCTCCCCAGAGGTGGGATGACTGGCAGACACTAGCTGGACCTGGGACCCACCCCCACTCTGCTCCACTCCCTCCTGGAGACCATTGATATGTTGGGGGCCTGGTGACTGGGCCCCCATTTGCCCTCTTGAAATCATCCCTCCTCTACAGAAGCTGCAGGTGTCCCTGAGGCCAAAGGTTTGAGGTGTCTCAGGGTTGTGGGGACCAGGGCCCTGGGCTCAGCCTATTGGTAATTATAAAATTAACACACACACAAAGTAAAAAGAGGAGAACTTGTCAGTGACAAAAGTACACAACAGGGGGAAGGGGTCGCCTCTGATAACAGTCGCTCTGAATTGCCAAGATTCTTGTATACATTTTACAATAAGGAGACTCTTCATACTTTTTAGTTTTTTTAAAATATATTTTTATTGATTTCAGAGAAGAAGGGAGAGGGAGAGAGAGAGAGACATCAATGATGAGAGAAAGAATTATTGATTGGCTGCCTCCTGCATGCCCCCATTGGTGATTGAGCTCCCAACCCGGGCATGTGCCCTTGACCGGAATTGAACCTGAGATTCTTCAGTCGGCAGGCCAACGCTCTATCCACTGAGCAACACTGGCTAGGGCTACTCTTACGGTTTTTAAACAATTTAATCTTTATTATTATTTGTGTGTGTGTGTGTGTGTGTGTGAAGTTATCATGTGCACGTGACAAAGAACTCCAAAAGAACCAAAGGGCATGCTGTGATCAGAGGTCTTTCCCCCAACCCAGGAACACAGGCCTTGGCACCCGGTCTGTGTGTCTGTCCGAGGCATCTAAATATAGATACTAGTAAGCACATGCCAACTGATTTGTAATTGATTTTTTAACTGGACAGCCTTTTCACTGCACATGACTCCTATGGAGGGGCCTGTTGTTTCTTGATGACTTCACACCCATTCAGCTTCTGAAAGGAACCCTGAGGAGCAAATGGGAGGGGCACTGGACCAGTGGCCATAGCATATGACCTCCTGCCTGCAGGGCCCACTGGAAGTGCCCCTGGGGGAGGGCAGCTCTGTGCAGTGGGGTATTTGTTCTGTGCAGACACACGTGCTCATAATTCCACGCAGCACTCAGGCCTCACCACATACCGTCACCTGCTCCCACAGATCACTCCGCTCTCACAGTGACCTGTTTTCATCATCAGACCATTAAACAGATGTGGACACTGAGGCACAGAATATCTTCAGGACCTGCCCAAGGTCACATGGCTGGGAAAAGGCGGTCCAGCTCTGAGTCAGGTTGGGCTGCTCCCCTGCCTGCTGCAGTTGGGGAAGGAGGGTGTGAGAAGCACTGTGGGTTCCTGCCCAAGGGGGAATGTGAGCCCTGGGAACTAGGGCTGTGCCAGCGGTGGATGGACAGGCTGGGCGACCCTGGGCGTCACTCCCCACAGGGGCCCCTGTGTTTCCTGTGGCTAAGGCTGACGGTGTTCCAGACACTGCTGGGCCCTGTCGCTGGACGTCTTCTGCCCTAAGGACACAAGCATCTTGGACTCTGTCCCCTTTCTGTGCCTCAGTCTCCTCGTCTGAAAATGGAATAATACCACCCAAAGGGGGTGCTTATTACTAACTGGTCAGCAGGTGCAGAGCTGGTCTGTGTCAGCTGAGTCTCGAACCCCTCTGAGGGCTCTGGTCACCGTGGACGTGCAGATGGTGGACGTGACATTTTTTACGCTTTCCTGACAGACGACGGAGCTTCGGGCTCTCCAGTGTCTCAGGGGCTATTGCAGGCTTTGGGGCCAAGCCTGCCATGGCCCCTGCTGACCCCTTTTCCCCTGCAGTTCTGGGAGGTCATCAGCGATGAGCACGGAATAGACCCCAGTGGCAACTATGTGGGGGACTCGGACCTGCAGTTGGAGCGCATCAGCGTCTACTACAACGAGGCCTCCTGTGAGCACCCCACCCTCCCTGGGCCCCTGGACCTGCCCTCCCATTGCTGGGCTGGCAGATTACGTGGAACCTGGGACTCACCACAGTGAGATTCAAACATGTCCTCGGCCACAGACATGTGCACAGTCCAGGGGGGCAGACAGGTTGGGCAGGACCTGAAGGTCCCCTCAGAGTCCTCCTGAGGGTCCAGAGCAGGGTCACCTGGAGGACTCAGGCAGGGAATGCTTAGGGCTGATGTGGGATGATGTCCGTGTCGAACTGGAGGAATTTGTCTGGGTCGTCCATCGTCAGTCCCCATATCACATTTGGTTCCAGCCCTCTGACCCAGAGTCTAAGGGGGGGGGGCAGGATTTAGAGGAAGGAGGAGCCCTGAGCCTCGATGATGCCCATCACCCTCTCCCCTTAGCTCACAAATACGTGCCTCGGGCCATCCTCGTGGACCTGGAGCCCGGAACCATGGACAGCGTCCGGTCTGGGGCCTTCGGGCACCTCTTCAGGCCTGACAACTTCATCTTCGGTAAGTTTCCCGTCAGGCAGACCCTTCACCGCAAACCCAGGTCAAGGGGAACGAAAGGGCACAGCCTCCCCTTCCACACACTCACAGGCAGAGCCGACCCCCATTCTGCAGCTGGCACTGGAGGCCCAGAGAGAGGGCTCTGTGCAGGGAACAGAAGCCACTGTGCACCTCAACTAGAGCTCGTGCCACACAGAACTACGTGGACAGGACCCTGAAGGACTGGTGGCCCCAGAGGCGGGAGCTCACGAGCACAGTGTCCCTGGGACCCAGAGGTGGGGTGATCCTGTGCCCTCGACTCTGGTGGCAGGGCCTCCCTCACTTCTGCCTTCCAGAGCTTAGCACCCCAGCCGACGGGCACCCGTCCAATCCAGACCCAGAGCTGCAAGGAACTCTGGGGTTGTAGTTGACGCTTCCCGCACTGCCCAGGAGGGTGGGTGGGCTGGAGGGAGGGGCTGATGGGTTCACCCAGGACCCCCAAGCGAGACAGAGCGGCTGCATCTCCAGGTTCTCAGTTTCTGACCAGAGCCCTTCACACGGTGCCGGGCAGCAGGGACCCCCACACAGCACAGCTGGTGTGGAGAGGAGGGGTGGGCCCCCACTTTGTAGAGGGAAAGCAGGCACAGGGCTGCCACAGTTGCCCTTTGGGTTGGGACGCTCAGGCACTGGAGGCCTGACCCTGTCGTGCCACCTTCTGACTCCTCACAGGTCAGAGTGGGGCCGGCAACAACTGGGCCAAGGGTCACTACACGGAGGGCGCCGAGCTGGTGGACTCCGTCCTGGACGTGGTGCGGAAGGAGTGCGAGAACTGCGACTGCCTGCAGGGCTTCCAGCTGACCCACTCGCTGGGCGGGGGCACGGGGTCCGGGATGGGCACGCTGCTCATCAGCAAGGTGCGGGAGGAGTACCCCGACCGCATCATGAACACCTTCAGCGTGGTGCCCTCGCCCAAGGTGTCGGACACAGTGGTGGAGCCCTACAACGCCACGCTGTCCATCCACCAGCTGGTGGAGAACACGGACGAGACCTACTGCATCGACAACGAGGCCCTCTACGACATCTGCTTCCGCACCCTCAAGCTTGCCACGCCCACCTACGGGGACCTCAACCACCTGGTGTCGGCCACCATGAGCGGGGTCACCACCTCCCTCCGCTTCCCCGGCCAGCTCAACGCTGACCTGCGCAAGCTGGCTGTCAACATGGTGCCCTTCCCCCGCCTGCACTTCTTCATGCCTGGCTTCGCCCCCCTCACCAGCCGGGGCAGCCAGCAGTACCGGGCCCTCACGGTGCCCGAGCTCACCCAGCAGATGTTCGACGCCAAAAACATGATGGCCGCCTGCGACCCGCGCCACGGCCGCTACCTGACCGTGGCTGCTATCTTCCGGGGCCGCATGTCCATGAAGGAGGTGGACGAGCAGATGCTGGCCATTCAGAGCAAGAACAGCAGCTACTTCGTGGAGTGGATCCCCAACAACGTGAAGACGGCCGTGTGCGACATCCCGCCCCGGGGGCTGAAGATGTCCTCCACCTTCATCGGCAACAGCACAGCCATCCAGGAGCTGTTCAAGCGCATCTCCGAGCAGTTCACGGCCATGTTCCGGCGCAAGGCCTTCCTGCACTGGTACACGGGCGAGGGCATGGACGAGATGGAGTTCACCGAGGCCGAGAGCAACATGAACGACCTGGTGTCCGAGTACCAGCAGTACCAGGACGCCACGGCTGAGGAGGAGGGGGAGATGTACGAAGACGATGAGGAGGAGTCGGAGGCCCAGGGCCCCAAGTGAGGCAGCCGGGGACCAGGGCCAAGAGGGCTGTCCCCAGAGCCACGCAGTCGCTGTTGCCGCCCCAGCCTCGCCCCCCAGCACATCACCCTAGGCCCCCGAGTGTCTGTCCTTCATATTTGCAGCACTCAGTTCTGTCTTCCCTCCATAGGTCCTTCCCATTTTTGTGTTTCGTTTGTCTCTGCTTTGTCAGCTCTGGGTCTGAAGTCACATGTGTGTTTTTTTTAACTTGTTTGTGTTCATATTTGGGGGGGGGATACTTAATAAATTTATTGCTGTCAGATTCCCCTCCCTGGTGCTGGAGATTTCTTTTTATTCTGGAGAGTTGGGCCCGAGGGTTGAGGAGGGACAGATGGAACCTGGGGCAGGGCAGGAGCCCTCTGTCTCCCAGGCTGGTGGCTGGGACAGGCCTTTGCTTGGAGCCTGTGGGTGTCTCGAGGCAGAGCCCCAAGGGGCTGCTGGAAGTGATGGTGGGGAAATGGGCCATGTTTGGATGAAGCATCATCTCAGAGCTCCAGTCAGGCTCTCCATGACTTGAAAACAATCCCTAGTCCTACAGGTGACGCCCATCCAGAGCTTCCCTCTGGCTCACCTGTGCGCTGTCTCAGAGGCAGGAAGGCCAAGATCCAAGGGAGAGGTCAGAGGGGAGGACTCCAGCACCCCCTGGGAAACACCCAGCAGGCTGGCGGGGAGTGATGTTGACCCCCTCTGCCCCCTAGTGGTCATTTCCTGTGGCTGCAGGACACCTGAAAGGTGGAACTTGGCTGCCCACTGCCTTCCACAGGAAGAGAAGCGGAAGCCCACCAGGTGCTGAGTGCCCCGGGCCCAGGCTGAAGGTGTGCAGAGCTGCACTGGGCCCAGGTACCTGCTCCCTCAGCCCCGGGTGTCACCAAACCCGGCTCCCTCCCAGCAGGAGAGCAGCTGTTCTGTGTGGGTGTCTGTGTGGAAGGAGGGAGCCAGCGGGACTGAGGGCCCTGATCCAGACAAGGACACTGAAGCCCGGAAAGGGCCAAGGCTGTGGCCGGAGCCACGGAGAAGCGCATTCTTGCAACTGACGCTTGGAGACGCCTGCACTGTGCGGGGCGGCTCTGAGACTCTCCCATCTGCTCAGCACCCCAATGAGGCTGCAGGGAGGGGGAGGGTCTTGAGCCCTGTGCTGGGTTCTCACCGCCACATGATGATGGGAACTGGGCGGCAGCAGGGCTCCCCCACAGCCAGGGGGGGATTCTCAGGCCTGCCAGCCTCCACAAAGTTGGGGCGTCCACAGCTCAGGTTCTCAAAGGGTTCTGTGACCTAAAAGGAGTTGAGACACCTGCTCAGGGTGGACCTCGGTCTTCCCAGCTCCTAACAACCACAGGAGCTCATGCTGGGCCCAGGCCACACCTTTGGGGGCCTCCTCTCACGGAACCTTCGCGTTATTGTCCACCTTTCGCTGCAAAGGAGTGGAGCTCAGGGGAGTGGGGGCGTTTGCCAGCTGCAAGTGGCAGAGCCAGGTGTTCGGCCCAAGGCTGTGCCTCCCTCGACTTTGCTTTAAATGGCCCCAAAGCACACGTCCCTCCCGAGCACCTGTGCCCACAGAACCTCATTCTCTCACATCACTCAGTTCCCCCTCCTTCGGCCACCCTGCCTTTGAGGAGCTGCCTCTGAAGCACACACGGAAAGTGGTGAGAGCAGCAGGTGGCCCATGATAAGCAAGTGTAGCTCCTCTATGTATCTGTCCTTCTTCTTCTTCTTCTTCTTCTTCTTCTTGGTCGCAAGTGTAGCTCCTCTATGTATCTGTTCTTCTTCTTCTTCTTCTTCTTTTAATATATTTTTATTGATTTCAGAGAGGAAGGGAGAGAGAGATAGAAACTTCAGTGATGAGAGAGAATCACTGATCTGCTGCCTCCTGCACCCCCCCCCCCGGGGATGGAGCCCACAACCCGGGCATGCGCCCTGACCAGGAATGGAACCCTGACCTCCTGGCTCATAGGTCGATGCTCAGTCACTGAGCCCTGCCGGCCGGGCTGTGTCTGTTATTATTAATGAGGCGAGTTTTTTGCAGGGGCACACGGGCAGGAGGGGCAGCAGACCCAGCTCAGCGGCTGCTTTGTCTCAGAACCTCCTAGAAGGCCCGACACCACCAGTGTGGGTGACCCTCTTGCAGGTGTTTCGGGTCAGCCACCTCATTGGCTGTTTGCCCAGGTCCACCTGTCCATTGCAGTCCGGGTGAAGGGCCAGGGCGTTCCTACCTGGGCACACTCTAGCCTCAACCCGCCCCATGCCCTGTGCCTGGCCAAGTACAGGGGCTGCTTGGGAGCTAGGAGATGACCTCACGCCCCTGGGGGGAGAGGGGCCTGCCAGACAAATACAGGATGCCCAGCGACACTGGAATTTCAGATAAACAACACTCCACTTGGGCGTGTTAATCTAAGCAATGGTTTCGGAGTTGCTAACTCCAATAATCCTAGACTGGGGGCTCCTGGCAGCACCCTTGGTGGTGAGCTCTTCACTCCGCCACAACCCTGACAGGCAGATGCTTACAGATCCAGTGCAGCTTTCGCTGCAGACAGGCGAAACGGCCCAAAGGCACCGCCGCAAGCATCAGGGCCACGGCGTGTGGCCAGGTCCCTTCCCCTCTAGGAAGCTTTCCCAGTTACAAATAACAAGTCCCTGACCAGGGATCGAACCCACCACCTTTTGGTGGATGGGACGATGCTCTAACCAACAGAGGCACCTGGCCAAGGCAGGTTTACTAAGTTAATTATGGCGATAGTTTCTCAGGTGCCTGCGCATGGCAAAGCTCTCAGATGGAGCACTTACACGCGTGCAGTTTATTGTGTGCACACGATACTTCAGTAAGCTGCTAAGAAAAAGGAGACTTTCAATGCCTCCTACCTCAGCACAAATCAAAGCCGTGTGTGTACAAACGGCCCCACCTCGCCCACCTCGGTCCTCCCGCTTCCCCGGCGGCCGCACTGGCCTGCTTTCTGTTTCACAGGCACTGCAGCCTCTTTCGCTTCCTCGGGCCTTTGCACTTGCCCTTCCCCGTCTGGATCTCCAGACAACGGGCGCTAACACGCGTCTGCTCAGTGCGCCGCGCCAGGTGGGACACCCCCGCAGGGCCAGCCTCTCGGACTCTTCCTCCTCCGCCCATGTAGCCCAGCCCCCTGTGCTCACTGCTGCGGGCCCAGAAGCAGTGAAGAAAGCAGACAAAACCCTTGCCCACAGCCCTTGGTTTCCGGTGGGGGTGAGTGGGCAGAGACCGACAATTAGAGTAAAAACGTATGAGACAGCGATGAGGGTTACGGAGAGAAACAAGCAGGGCGGGAACACTGGCTTCTGCACCACCACCTCCACCCCCGAGCCCCAGTTTCCTCCTCTGCAAAACGGGTAGGTCGCCGGCTCTGAACACCACGTAAGGTCGGGGAGGCAGGTGGACCGGCGCGCAGGGAGCTGCTCGCCCTCATTCCCTATTCCTCCCTCCTCCCTCTCAACCCCTGGGGTTTAACAAAAAGAAAAAGCACCAGTTTTTTCAAAAGTGTGGATTAGACTCATTGCAGCCCCTCCCCGCCCTCGCCTGGCCACACCATCGCCAACCGGCGAGATCAAATATCACCATTTCCCCGGGACGCGGCGAGGGCGGGCGCGCGTGCCATGAGCCTCCGGGCCGCAGGCGGCAGCAGCGGGCGG